GGTTGCTCTTGATTCTTCAACTAAAAAAGGAGTTGAAATATTTTCTGTTTTTTGAGGTATTTTTACAACGGACAAGTAAAATGCTTTCCTGTAATAATTAAACAATACAATCACAAAACAAACGGAATTTCAATAGCAAATTGGGTTTTCCGCCATTTGAAAAAAATGGGAATTCCTTTTCAAAATATCTGTCAGTGTGCTACCGATGGTGGTAAAAATTTAACTTCAATAAATAATGGATTTGTTGCACACTTTTTAAACAAATTGAGGGAAGAACAAATGTGTTTGGGGGAAGTCGACAAACATTTCAAATTTACTTGGTGTTTTGCCCACAGAACAGCACTAACGGGAACATGTGTCAATAAAGATAATGACGCGCTATTAGTTACATTATTTGTAAAGTGGTTTTGTTCAGGTAGAACACTCAAAAAAATTTACAAAGAAAATAAACAAAATGAAAAAATGAAAAAAATGAAAAAAAATGAAAAAAAAATGAAAAAAAAATAAAAAAAAATGAAAAAAATGAAAACAGCATGCGAAACGAAGTGGCTTTATTTTTCCGATAATTTGGGTGAAATTGAATCTGAATATAAAGAAATTGAAAGATTAGTGAAAGTATTCAAAACAGATTAAACATGAAGCATTTTTTCTTCAAAAAGTATCAAAATATAAAAAACAATTTCCAACACAAAAGATATCAATATTGCAATCGATCATTTCCATTTGGGAAATGAAGTTGTCAAACAAACTTTTTGTGTTATTAGAGGAATTTTAGGGTTGTTGAGACAATTTTCAGATTCTTTGCAAGAACAAAAAAGTCTGATTTTTGTACAATGGGAAAGAATTCAAATGTTTAAAGTTTTTTTTAAAAAGTGTTTTGCAAAAAGTTGTTGAGCCAGACTATGAATACTCTGATTTTGAATGTTTAAAAGGTAAAACAAATGTTGATAAAAAATACCTTAAAAACTATTGGAAATGATCATTGATGATTTTAATCTACGCTTTAAAACAGTTTCAAGGTCTAAAGACATGATAAAGATTATGAAAAATAAAAACAAAAAGTTGGAAAAAGAAAAGGTGATAATTAATGACAACGAAAGTGATAAAAATGACAACGAAAAAATAAATGAAATAACAGAAAAAACAACAGGAAAAACTTTGATGGAAAAAGAGACAGAAAAACAAAGAAAATATAAAATAAATGAGAAGAAATTGAAAGAAAAAGAAGTTGATTTGGAAGGAAATATGTATATGTTTAACCTCCCTCAACTTATTGTTGACAAATGGAATATTGAAATACCAAAAGAGTTTACTTATTTAAATAAAGAAGTAGCTATAATCACAAATATATTATGTAATACCAATATATTAATTGATAAGAAACTAAACAATGTTGTACCAGTTTCTAACTATCAAGAGGATTTAAGAGAAAAAACTGGTTATCGTCATAAACTTACATTATTGGACATTTATCAGATTCTCCCATCAAGTTTGCGTCTCATTGTTAAGGATTTGGTAACAATGTTTCCAACAACTGTTGTTGTTGAAAGGAGTTTTTCGCAAATACGAACAACTACACACCAAAACATGGATTTATGTGGAGTGTTTTCCAGAATTTTCTATTCAAGTGTAAACCACCAGATCATTATAAGTCTACCCCAACTTTGAAAAATTCTTTTTAAAAAGTGTAATAAATAACAATTTGATTACATTTTCGCACTTTTCACATTTATTTATTTATATGTCATGTTAAAAAACGTATTGATTTTGATACTTTATTTGAATTTTTGTAAATGGGGCTAGAAGAAAAATAAAAACTATTTTGTCATTAATTCGAACAACGATGTGTTAAACTATTTTAATATTAATGATGAGCAAATTGTGGTTTAAATTTCAAAATAATATTTAAATGTATGAATGTTATGTGAATTAATTACCAAATGATTTATTTTTTTCTTTTTTGTGATTTAAATCAAATTAATAAAAATACAACATCTTATAAATAGTTTAAAACTGAAATGTTTTTTGAAACAATTCGTATTTTTAATTTTTAATATATTTATAAATAGTTGAACTGTTTGAACTTTATTCTAAATATAAAAAAACGAACAAAAATAAAATAGTAAAATAAAAATTGTAAGTTTTGTTATTTTGTCTCTTTTGGTAATTTATATTTAAATATTAGATCCATCTCAATTTATCTCCTGATTTGCCTGAATTAAGCTTCACACATTTTTATTTTATGTAAAAAAAACATTTTTGTTTTTTTTAAAAATTTCATTTTATATTTTTCAAAAACGCCGTACTGTGGTTAATTCCAATGAAAAATTATAAAAAATAAGAAATTAGTTGTTTAATTTTTAAACAAGCTGGATGTTATATATATGTTTGGCTATTATACATAATATATAACCCATTTTATTTTACATTGAGATAAATTGGAAGTTCATTATCTCGTTAGAAATGTAAAAAAATAATAAAAGAACAAATGTGTGTTATTCGAGTAAGTATTTAATCAAAACTTCAGTAAACAAGATTCTGTAAAAATGCGACACACAAAAAACAATAAATGTGCAACTTTAGTTATAGTTTTTTATGTTTTTTTAATTAGTTTAATAATTTTAAAAACAATTGTGAGTGAATATATGTTTTTATATATAAAAATATATTTGATTTTATTACAATTATTGTATATAATTGACCAAAAAATATTAGAGTAAAAGGCGTTTTTTGTCACAAATCCAGCAGAAAAAAATTATTTATTTGTCCGATTTAAATAAATTTTGTAAATATTTTATTAATATTATAATTAATTTTTTTTAGTAAAAATTTGGTTAAAATTCAACAAAAGGCACAGATTCGAGAACAAAATATTTAATATTTGTACACCAAAATGATTGGCCAATTGTTTAACAAATAGCTTGTTCGATTTTACAGCACACTCCGGCATTTTCCCGGTTTTTATTTTTTCAGTGTTAATGGTTCCCAAAACTGCATTAAAAAATTACACATTCCTTAACATTGCGAAAAGTCAAAAACTAGACAGATAAGCTTAAAAAACTATGATTTTTATTTTTTTCAATTTTTTTCTTATTTATCAAAAAATAGCACAATTATGAAATAATAATTTGAACTAATGTGCACAATAAATACAAAAACATTTAAAATTGTTTTATATAGTAAAAAATATAATTAAAAAAATTAATAAAATAGAATTTAATTATTATTAAAATTTTATAATAATAATTACTATTAAAAAAACATATAAAATATAAAAATAGATTTGGTAACTGTCTTGATATAAAAAATATATTAATTAATTTAATTAATATTAATCAAATTATATTCCCGAACAAACGCACAAAACTAATTTAATTAATACTTTCTGATAAATAGATTTGTTTATTAAAAAATAATTTATAAACAAGTTAAATAATAATTAAACAATCAAAACACGCTTTAATTGTCTTGAAAGTTACTCCGACACTGTTTTCTATATCACAACTCTATTACAACAGATAAAATGTTGGCTTCATAAGCAGTGTCAGTCAATGCGTATTACAAAAAGTATCTTCAATGATCAAATCAAGATGTTTTTTAAATGATATTTATGTTTAATATGATATAAGTTATTAGAAGTCAAACATAATTAAAAAAAATTATATTTCGAATAATTAACATTAATCAAAGATATTATCTAATCATTAATTAGTTATTATCAAATGAATAAACAATATTTAATAGATTTCTATAAAATTATGAGAACATATAAACAATCATAAATGTTGGTAAAACAGAATAAAAACCATCTTGTAACTTAAAAATGCCATTAATATCGCACCGTGAAAAAATATATAACAAAAATATAGTAATAAATTGTCAATAAATGCTATTTTATTTGTTCAAATAAAGAAACATACAAATACGTTTTTTATTTACCAATATTATTATGAATAATTTACTTAATTAAACGGGCTGTTTTTTGAAATAAAAACAAAAAACACAATTTTATAACACAAAACAATTATCGAAAGTTCCATTTTATAACTTAAAACGAAACAAATCCCATTATTTGGGTATTATACATAGGATCATATTATGTAAAATATCACTAAATTATATGGGATTTTAGTCTAAATATACGAGATAAAAAATATTTTAACATCAACAAAAATTTTTTATTTTTTTAGTTGTGTAAAATAAATAATTTTATTTACAAAAAAAATGTTTGTTTATTACATATTATACAATACAAAAATTATTATTTTTTCACCACTCTGACAATACAATAAATTGAAACTTTACCAGATATAATATTAATATCATTAATTTATTAACACCAAATGGGTGTATTTTTAAATGTTAATTCGTTTGTTACACAAAATAGTTACAAGGCATTTATATATAATATGACAATTCTTTGATTAAAATAATACCAAATAATTATTTTTTCTTGTAGTTTTGTTAAAACTTAAAAATTTTGCCAAACCAGTATTTTTGAACATAATTTGATTGTATTACAAATCGATATTTGCAATGCAATCAACAAATATACCATTTAATAATTATTTATTATCATATTTTAACGGTTTTATAATACATTGTTATTCAAACAATCAATATTGTTTTTTTAATTGCCTGTTAATTTTCAAAAAAACTAATTATAAATGACACGTTGACATAATATGTTTAGAACGAGGGTTTCCGTGTTTCAGAATAATTTCTTGACAAATTGAATTTGGTTTCGATATTTACATAATTCAAAAGCACTCAAATTCTCCAAAATGATGTATATCATCAAGTCGATTTTAGGTAAATAAAGTGTCTAACAGATGTTTTAAATGCAAACTTTCTTTTAATCCTTGTCATTTTTTCGTGATAAACAACAAAGAATTTGAAATCAATTGAAATCTTAAAAATATATAGGTAAATTGACAATTTAACCAACACATTAATTAAATACACAAACATCACATGAGCTCTGGTGATGATAAAAAAAAATGACCGTCATTGTCGACGTTTTAACAGTCATAAACATTTCGTTTATGTTTGTAATTCTAAAGTTTGTCGAAATTATATTAAAAACGGTACAAACTATCTGTGTTAAAATGTGTTTAAAAAATTGGGACTGTGACTGCAAATTTGTAATACATTTAAAAGAAAACAAATTACATCAATAGGAAATAATGAGTGTAATGTCACCATTGACATTAAAGTAAGTATTTCATATATTAAGAAGTCATTTTGGATTGATGGCAATAAGGTAAGCATCATTGGATGGTTCAAAGTAAGTCTTGGCGATTACAAGATCTTTGCCATCAAGCGCAATTTGTTTGGTAATTCAGTTGACAAAAAGACGGTCATAGAGCTTAAGATGAGAAATGGGAAGCTTGAAGTGAATAACGAAGCGCAGTGTGTGATGTCGAAACCAGTCGAGTACGGCACGTGGTATCGTATTGGTGTTATGAACGACTTTTTGACTCTATACATTGATGGTACTTCCGAGTTGAGACGCACACACTAAATGTCATTAAGTTAGAGGGCAACAGTGAAGTGTTGGCAGGGGATGAAGGATCACCAACACATCGGGACATATACAGTTTCGGCGACATCATGATAGTTAATGGTAGTATAGAAACATTGGTTCCAAAATAGTAAAGAGGGAAATTGATGTCACTTATTATTGATGACTAAGTCGGCAACGAAATCATCGAAGAGTCGACCTGGCCGTTCAAAGAAATTTTGGGTTTCGACGCTTCGTATGAAAAACTGAACGGCTTTGCTTTATTTCTTATGTACTTTTTGAGGGTCTTTGATGAGTTGTATAAAGTACTTGGCTTTTTTTTGACAGAGTGATGATAGGAGTTAAGGAAATTGTTATACAAAGCGCGAATAGACTCCATAGAAAAAAGTGAAGAAACCACATTGATAACTGAGAGTGTAGAAATTATGCAAATCAACGACTATATCAGTGAAGAAAACACTAAGGAATTTTTAAAGTACATTGACTCTTTAAAAGTCACCAACACAACTACAAGAGGAAAGTACCTAAAAAAGTTTATGACTCTAACAGCACCCCAAAGCCCTAGTTACCCTCTTGAATTAACAGAAGAAGACTTTAAGTCAACACAACTGTTAGATTTGGAAAACACTTCTGTGTCGCCAAAAACAAAAAACTACTTGTTTTGTGTCTACTGTTTTTCTAAAGTCCTTTCGCTCTTAGACGCTATTACTATTTCAAAGGTAAACATTCTGAACATCACGTCAGACTTTCTGTAAATTTCTGTCACTTTTAAAACTCTATTTGCCCCTATTATCAACTCTGTTACATTTGACTGCAACACTCTCATTTTCTTTACAAAGCTTTTATGTGGAGTTTTCTAATAAGGCCGATGTCCTCAAAAGACACTCCTGTATCTTCTTGAAAAGGAAAGACTCAATAGACTCTGTGTTGTAATTGTTACTTCACATCCTACCAGCGGGCAAATAACATCTATAAATATTTGATGAAGACCACCCAATCCATATCTCAGTCACTTTGAAACGCTATTCAGTGTTAATTTCAATCATTTAAGCCTCACTTGTCTTTAAAATTAAACAAAGCGAATACGACAATGTAATATACACCGTCTTTATATGTCTATTGTTTTCACCAATACCAGACACTGCGAAGCGCAGTCTTAGACTCCAACAAGGTGGTAGAAAGTTTATTCAAGTGTGTAGTATTCCGATGGGGACTTTGTTGGTTAGAACGAGATGAAACAGTAGCAGAGGGATGTTTTTGGGGAGATGATACATTCTTTTAATGTTAATCAAAGAAGTTGGCGACTTTCGCAAAGTCTTTATAGACTCTATGAATATCCAAAGTAGTAGCAATTTTTTGTGAGCTTTTCACGGTCATGGCACTCAAGTTATGGTTGTTAGTTAACAAGTTAGGGAAGGACAAAGTGTCTTTCTGTTGCATCGAGTACTGCACGTTCTTGATAGACGTTATACAATGTAGCAATTGTGGTGTAGACATTTTATTTTGTTGAACGAAGTGTCACCATATCGAATGGAGTCTGTGTAGATCCCAAACAGTATCAAAGTAAAGACAATGACTTCATGTGAAGGGCGCAAGTCATAAATTTATAGAAGACAAGAATTTTATGTCGGTCATCCACCATTTGCACAATCAAAACATCTTCATTAAAAAGACTCAAAGCGAGACGTGCGTGTCTTCGATATTTGAGATTTTGTTGATGAAGTATCGGGGGTGTCGAGGTAAGGCACTTCAAGAGACGTACATTAAAATAATTGTGATGGAATACACCGACATTTTAGTGAAACTGTTACCGAGCGGAGAGTTGAAAAAAGGCTTCAAAAAGGTGTTACAACAAAGCACTGAAGAGATCGACGAGTTCTTTTATAAATACGACCAAGACATTCAAAGCGTGTTTTGGAAGGATCTGAGGATATTCCACATTTAACAAAAGCTCACGTGAATGAAGTTCTGACTCGTGTGAAGCGTCGCACTAAAGAGAAGAATGATCGAGAAGAACTAAAAAAACTGGAGAAGAAGAGCGAAATAGTTCGACGTCGAGAAAAAGCAATAACGATGTATTTGAGAAAACAAGAAGACTAGCAAGCACAAGAGAAAATTGACAAGGCAAAATTTAAATGAGGAAAAGGACCATCGAAAAGTTTGTTAAAATCCACAGCAGAGTCTTTGAAGAAGAAGTTAAGAGGTATTGTATTAATGATAGATTCAATGCGATGTTCATGCGCAACGAAGTTGTCGTCGAAAGACACACTTGAAAATGAAAAGCAGCCACTTCAACAAGTCATAATAGTGAAGATTAAAGATATGGAGACAACAGATATACAACAAATGTGGAGATGTGGTGTGATATTTAACTTTGAGTATTTGATTTACCCCATTGTGAAGAGTGGAAGAAGTGGACTCGACGTTTCACAGTACCCCGTGTTCCCTTGAGTCACTAAAGATAACAAAAGCCTATCCATCGACCTAAGCTCAAAACAGATATACAGAGATCTTGCATATCCTGTTGTCGCACAAGACGAAGAGCGCCGCAATAATTTGCAAAACAAATTTGCGAAAGTTGGGACGCATTATGGGAACCATTACAGTTCTATAGCAACACCTTTTGTCTTTTTGTTTCGAGTGGAGCCATACATGTATATGAAACTATTTGATGTTTTTTTGACATGGAACGACTGATTGGCTCGATTGGGATTTTCTATGACAATCTCCAGACAACGCCGATAAAGGCCATACCGGAGTTCTACTACTTGCAACAATTCTCAATGAATTTCAATACCATCAACTTTTGGAAAAAGAAAGATAGAAACACTTTATAGAACATGGAGCGATGTTACAGTGGGTATTTGGTAAAGAAGCGATGTATACAATTGATATTGAAAAGAAAGTCGGTTACAATGTGGGGAACGCGCGGTTAGTCAATTCAAAAGTGTTAACAAGTCTGTGGGCCGAATTTGTGTTATGTGAAATTATTGCGCGGGTTTTGAAAGGCTTGGCACTTCGCCAAGAGAGACAGTCTGTAGCCAGTAAGCAAGGGGTCAACAGACGATGTGTATCATGAAATTATCACCTCTTGCTTCAGAACACATAAAATATAATTAATTTGTTAAACCAGTTAAATTCAATTTTTTGAACAAATATCGAATCAAGTTATAACAAAGTATTTTATTATATAGTTATTTATAATATAGTTTAAAATATTGATAAATATACTATTATTTTGAATTATTTTTAAATATAATTTTAGAACAGTCTTGTTGTTCTAGTTTATATTTTAATTTTTAAAACCAATAAATGAATAGTTTAAAAAAAGTTAGATCACAGTAGACTCTAGTCTAGTAAGACATGAAATAAAAGAAATGAAGAAGGGTTTTATTGCAGTCACAAATTAAATACTTCCAAAACCAAACCAACAAAATGCCAAAATTAGTGGTTTGTTTGTGGTGAGATCTCATTAAGACTCAAAAAATTTATTCTTACTTTGTTTGTTTGTCAGGTCAGAGCACACAATCATTCAAGTCAGGAAAGCTGTGTCACCGCGGTCTGTCCAACTCGTAGTCTTATGAAAGTTGATGCGCATTAAAATATAAGCGAAGTTCAATGCGCGTGGTTAAACTGTCGTGATTCTTTTATAACGAGAATCGTTGTAAGGGGTGTCTTGGATAAACTAAAAGGCTGCTCCTATATGTTTTATCAAGGAAATGTCCCTTCAATTAATTCACTTTATTATCAACTGTTTTGTTTTGTATTTGGTTTTTGTGCGGTTAGTTATTTTAATGTTTTCAAACGTTTTCGTTTTTTTCTGGTTTGAAATACAAAACACTATTTTTGTCGTGTTCGTAAAACAATTTGTGATGTAGAGCAAGATCCTTTGGTTGTTTTACATTGGGTTACAATTTTATTTAATGGTTTCGTTGGGAAATTACAGGGATAGTCATTCTTAATATTTAAAATTAAGTGCTTTTTGTGCTTTTTCTTTATTATATTATATTATAATACAATTTTATTGTTTGTTATTAACATAAAAAAGTAAAATCTATTTTGTTGCACAAAAATGCTTAAATCCCATAAGGATTATTTCTTTTTTTTTGAAAATGTATTATTTATCATAGTTGTTTTTATTTTATTTTCAATAGTAATATGGTACAATTATTTTTTTAAACATTAGTCATTATGATGTACTTTAATTATTCGGCATTTTTGTAAATTATTGTGCAAAATTAAATTAATTTAAATGGTTTTGTAACATGTTTCTTTCTTTTGCTTTTTATTTTTAAATTTGTTTTTATTTTGTAGCCTTGTTGTGTGTATTATCGGGTTGATTTTGCAATTTTTGTACTATTTATATATCAAAAAGTTACTGTTGTATTTTTATTTGAATAATAAGATGGTATTTGCCAAAATACCATTGTCCACAATGGTGGTATTTTGGCAAATTACCAAAAAATTTCTATTTTTGTTTAAGTCACACTTTTTGTTCAAAAAAATTTAAGACGGAAAAAACCGAAAAATTCCGGAGTGTGTTATCATTTACAGATAGAGGAAAATATGGGTGACAAGGATAAAGTCGGTGACAATAAATAATGTTTTATAAAACAAAAAAAATATTAACATTTAATAACATATAATTGAATTAACTCTAACTATCAATCCTTTTGCATAAAGTTTTGTACATTGTAACGCCTTTTTCTTATCACTTAATCAACAATTCACAGAAGATTTTGGCTCTATAACAAAACCGTATAAAGACTCGTTAACATTAAAGAAATAACACACAACATTAAAATTATTTGAAAAAATAGAAAGAAAACAATCAATCAACAAAAAATGAAATGATTATCTTGTCATTTCGAAATAAAGAGATAATTTCTCGTAATATTGAAAAACGTTTCCACTTTTTTCATTGATATATAAAGTGTATTTCGACTTGTCAAATGGTTTTAGACCGTTTTTCCAGACAACAGTATTTCCCAATCAAACAACTATGATTAAACTCACAGCCCCAACAACTACGTTAATGTCGTTAACATTGCAGACCTTGACTCCAAACAAAAAGAGATAATAAATGAGACAATAGTCTGTTACATTAAAGAAGTGACGGATCTCATTGTGCTTGATACATCCAACGAAGGTCTAAATAATCATATTCTTTCAGAAAAAAATAAAAAACTATGTAAAGAACAAACCAGTTATAACGAATTTGTAAGACTGTTCCCCCATCTATCATCTCAACTAAACTCGTTGGAATTTAAAGTGTACAATGACAATGGTTGGAAGAGTATCTGGCTCTCTATTGTCTTTGGTTAATTCAAGTGAGTTTTGTGGATGAGGGTTCGTGGTTTCAATAGTGATCATTTTTTTATTATTGAAGTTCTTTTTTTATTAAGATCACTTTTTTTCAGAAAAGTTCGAACACATTATTGCATTTTTTGTGTTTTTAAAATTTACAGTCTTTTTTCCCTTCAATTTTTTGGAAAACAACGAAAAAATAGCATAGGAATGTTGTCACCTACTTTACCTTTACCATCCATTTATTGGGATCAAAAACCCGGATTAATAGAGAAATACAACTGTTGATCTTTATAATTCCTCAGAAAAATGAGTTATTTATATTTTGTCACTGACATTATCCTTGTCACCAACTTTATCCTCCATCTGTAGATGTTTGACAATTTAAAATCTTCGAATTTTGGAATTTTTTTTTTGTTTTTTAATTTTTTTTCTTTATCCCAAAATTTTGGTTTAATATTTGACTTGTCAATTTATGTTTCGGCAATTTTGAAAATAGAAATAACATTTCTTATATTTACTAATAAAATATTACTATTTGTTTTTTTGAAACAAAAAAATCAGTTTAAATATTTTTTACTCACAAAATTGATTTTGATCATTTTTTTGTGTAAATACTTAATAAAATGTCGAAATTTCTGCAATTTTGGGATTTTATACCTATAAAATAACGAATAAATGTCTAACTATGTACAAATCAAATACAATCAAAAACAAGTTAATGACAAATATAACAAAACATGTGTTGTAATTTAATCAAATAAAATGGGTGTAAAATTTATATGTTGTTTTTAATATGTTTATATTTATAAACATTATAATTTTATTTGTTGTTAATGATATTATCAAATTTACATTGGTTTTTGTATTTTATTTAAAAAAAATGATATTTATTTCAATATGTATAGTCATGGTAAAAAAGGTTGTTGAGTAAAAATGGTTGTTGATTGAATATAGGTTCGGTTTATTTTTGTATTTCAAGAAAAGTTACACTTATGGTGTACTTTTAATTGAAGTTGTTTTCCCTTCAAACAGAACCAAAAAGAACATATTATTCAAATCAAAACAAAAAAAAAATAAATAGAAAATGAAGGGAAAGAAGATTTCTTCTCATTTATAAACAATAACAAAAAACAACAACAAAAAGATGATAAAAGTTTCAATTAGATGAATGCTCTAGTCAATGGCAAGAGTATTTTATGATTTAAACAAGTAAAAAACCAATCATCAAAAGAAACGCTAAACCTAACGGTCAACACTTTCTGTATTAACAAAACGTAAACAAACTCCACAATTCCACCTTTTTGACAACCAGTATTGGTTCAACTAAAGCAAATAAAGCCATCGATAAACACATTGAATAAAGAGAAATAAAAAACAAACAATAATAAACAGTCGTGAAAAAAAGATTGTCGATGTTATAATAATTAAGGAAAATGAAGTTGTTACTTAAACTTGAGTAAATAATAAAAATATCAGTTTAATTGATCTGTTAAATATGTAAAAATCAGAGTTGATCTGTAAAAACTTAAAGTTTACAAGATGTCATAATTTGACAATTGTATAAAAATACGTTTTTAAAACCATATTTTTATTATTTTAAACTTAAATTATATTATCAATGATTGAATAATAAAAATAAATTCATTTTGAATTCCTTTTGAACTTGTGTACTTTAATTAATCTTACAGGTCAGCCTAACTTACATTGAAATTATCAGGAAATATTCAAAAAATAAATCAAACATAACA